AACCAAAATGACTCATGAGAGCCGCGCCACGGCTAGGGCTGGACACCGTCGCCCTCCGCGCTCAGATGTCATCCAAAGGGACGAGCAAAAAGTCTTTCCTTTCCCCGTCGTCTGGAGCTGTATTCCGCCTATGGAGGACTGAGAGAGAGGGGAGCAAGTTGACGTTGGGCTTGTTGAAGTGTAACCAGAGGCCTGCCCGTGCCCGCCGACGTGCCGCGCTCAGGGGCTGCGGGGTGGGGTGCGAGGGGCTGGCTGATCCGAGGCTGTTGGTGTGCCCAGGGGTGCTGCGGGTGGAGATGGTGCCCATTTAGGGCCTGAGCACCATCCCAGCGCTCTCCTGCCAGCGGCAATGCTCCGTGCGGAAGCGTCTTGCAGTGGGTGACTTCCCACTGTAACGGGAAAGGAAATAGATGTGCTGAATTTGCCCCTTTGCCCCCACCCCTTTTTTTTTCCTATGAAAATGGTGCAAGTTACAATTTAAAGGAGGTACTTACTGACAAATACCCCCGTACACCCGCAGGTTCCTCCCCCTCGAAGCACTGGACTGCGAGGGGGCTCGAGTGCTGCTCTTTCACTGAGACAGAGTGAACAGACTTTCCAGCCAGAGGATGCAGGGTGGCTGTCGTGGGAGAGGTGAGGTTATTCCTGAAAGAAAAAAGGTGCAGAAACCTGAGTGACTCCAGTGCGTTTGGGTGGCAGGCTCAGAAATACACAGCAGCCAGACTTTCAGCAGTGGTAGAGCACAGAGGGGCGATTCTTGCTGTTGTTCTTGTGTGTGAGGCTTAGAAGCCGAGGCAGTTTGTACCAATTCTTCCCAAAGCTGCGACAGAGAGTGACCTTTTGAAGGAGATGTTGCCACCGTGACCTGCTTTGATCCTTAGCAGTGCGAGCTTAGAAAGTCGGCACAGATGAAGTTACAGTTTAGTGTGAGGCTGAGTGCTTGGACATGTTTCTTCCTTCTTTTAAGAGCAATATGTATTTTCTATCTCTTTTTAAGTTAATCGGAAATGTTATTTATAGCTGGTTGTGCACCTCTGTGTATCCTGAAGTCCCACAGCACAGGACTGGGTGGGAAAACCTGAGGGACTGGAAAGAACGGGAAATGTTGGGTAAGGAAAAAAACAGATGGCCAGTCTGCTCCAAAGGTCGGTCTGAAAGGGTTTCAGAGCCAGGGCAGCAGACAGGCAGGAGTTTACACGGACTGGAGACACAGGGCAGAGCCTGCCTAATTTATCTACTCTAATTATGATATAAGAGAGTGAGAATAATTCAGTAGTTTTCTTTGTGAACCAAGTTTATTTTTTAACCTTATTCAGCTCAGGAACATTGCCACAGTAGCAAGTACATGGTGTTCACTGTGGGAGAAGTGAATGTGATCCCTTCCTAAAAGCAATGTGGCTGTACCAGTCCTGAGAAAGCTGTGCAGCATCATCTACACTTCCACATAGAGTAGTTTAGTTGCAATTTGCTTCTTTCTTTTTTCTTTTTCTTAAATATAAATGTATTGCAAACCCCAGGCTCTGCTGCCTTTGGCATTTTATCCCTGTTTGCTGGCCCTCACCTGCCAGCTGTGCAGTTTCAACATGCCAACTGCTTTTATTAGCTACCAAGACAATTTCCGTTGAGAGACCTGAGGGGCTTTTATTTATCACTAAGCACAAAGAAGGATCTTTTTTTTTTGACAATGCTAAGGTAATTCTCCCCCCTCCTGCCCCAATTTTTTTTATGCATGTGATGTGCACTCGGTAATGTGCTTTCCTCCTATTAACATTCTGAGAAACGTAGGTAGATTTGCTTTTATGTGACATATAAATATATCCATATCGCACTGAGACGTGGATATATAGACATATATATATAGCCCCTTAGGGATTTCGTTTTCTTAGATGCAAAATAACAGATTTACCTCAAACTGCATGCTTTCAAAACTGAATAGGATATTGTGTTATACTTTTCAGGTCTTACAAAGATGCAGATACATTTCACTCTTCACACAAAATTACCTTCGCCACAGATTTTGCAAGCTGTGTACTACAATCTGTGTACTGCTGTCCGGAGTTTTCTGTCAGTTGTTCTGCTGGATTACGTGCAATAATAAACAGTTATCTGCTCACTGTATCAGTGTTTATCTTTGTGGGGGTTTCTTCTCGGTATGACACACTCATTCCAGTCTTCAAGGAGAGGTCACGATGATGAGGTCCAGAATTTCAGAGGTGACAGCTGGATGGGTTTAGCTTTCCGCTAAATAAATAAATAAATGTTGAATGTCTATTTCAAAATCTGCATTTTTGGGTGATAGGGGGGTGATGTGCAAAGAGAATTGTTTTCATTTATTGTTTTTTGAAAGTTTGGTGCCAGATGCTTGAGGACATCACCAGCTCTCCGAGTGACCTGTGTGTGCATGAAGCCAGCACGGGGCCCACTAGCCGCAGGGAGGAAACCCTTGCAATGAATAACAAGCACGCGCTGATGCGGACCTTGGCTCATAAATAACTCCTTGGCTGCATTTTCTCTAGAGGATGGCTCAGCTCAGAGGGGAACGCTGGGCTCAGAGGTGGCTGCGGCTGAGCTGGCAGAGCCCCAGACACAGGACGAGGTGAGCAAGACTCAAGCCTGGGGTGCCTCAGGCTGGCCATGGCCACAGGAGCCAGGCTTTTGGGGAAGGTGGGGCTGCCCTGGCCTCTGCATCAAGGGCTTGGCACTGGTATTGCTGAGGCCATCCAGGACCACCACCAAGGGGAGAAAACTGAAAATCACCAGCCAGAGCCTGGCTAGTCTTTGATACATACATACAGTGCGTGTGCCAGAACCCTCTAGAACCCTGCAGGAAGGAAACCAGTTGCAGACCACGCTGCTCTGCTGCTGTTAAAACCTCAACCCAAATGCAGAGATGCCCTGGGACCTGTGTGTCAGCAGTGAGCAGAGACCCACTGAGCTGGCCTTGGGAGGAGGCACGGGGCCGGAGGAAACGCACCTCGCTGGCCCAAAGCCTGGCGGGGGGATGTGGGCAGCCGGTGACAGGTCCCTTCGCTGCCTGCCTCTGCCCGGGGCAGCTGCCAAGTTCCTTCCCAGCCACGTACTGCAGCCTGCTCCCCTGGCGCCACAGTTCTGCGTTTGGAGAGGAGCAATTCTCACTTTCTTTCTAGCCCACTGGCTTCAGTTCTCTTGTGTTGATTTAAAGACCCACAGATGTGATCAGGATGCCCTGTTGGTGCAAAATCTCACGTGCTCTTAGGCAGCATTGAAGTCACAGCAGACCCATGAGCTCATGGCCACCTCCAGCCCCTGAATATTTTAGTGAACAGCCGAAGTGATGGGAAAGCCAGGATGGGGAAATGGTAGCGGGGAGAGCCCAGCACCGGGCAGGGGCACAGGGGCCCAAGGAATGCAGGATAGCCAAAACCTTCAATCCCTTTTCTATTTCTGGAGCTTCTCACATGAGTGAAGCCAGGCTGTGCAGAGGGGCTGGCAAGACGCAGGCTCAGCCTCCACAGGCAGCAGGGGCTCCCCACAGCCTCTGCAGGGTGCAGGAGGCCTTGTGGTGGAAGATTTCTGTGCCCTGATAAGGAACTAAGGAGACGAGTTTGGTGAGACGATGGCTTTGCTCTCCTCTGGGCTTGTTTTGCTGCTGGTGTTGGAGGAGCCAGCAGCATCTCATTCAGCCAGTCACGGGGGGGGGAGGCGAGGGGCAGCAGGGTAACCGGAGCCCTTCACACCTCATAAATCTCCGGCTGGTGAATGGAGCAGATCCTTGGCCCATGCGGAGGCAGCAGGCAGGGAGGCGGGTCTCTTGCTGAAGCCATGATGTAGTGCTTCAAAAATATGAAAAATGCCAAAAAGAGGAGAACACCCCTTCCCCGGGGTGGGGGCACCAGCGCTGAGACTCTACCTCAGGAGCCGCTGCTTTTGGGGTGATGTCCCCAGCACTGTCCCTGGGTGCATGGAGAGGAGTCGGACATGTGAGAGCCAGGAGAGAGGCCCTGGCCCGATCCGGTGACAGAAGGGCACACGTTAGGTAGCTTGCACCGCTGGGAGGGAAGGTGCAACCCGAGCCCCGGTGTCCTTTGAGAGTGACGTGCCCAGCCCGGGGATGGGCTGGCGGCACTGCCCTGCCCGCAGAGAGCAGGAGCATCCCCCACTCCTGGCCCTGGTCTCAGGGCTAAGGTGGTCCTGGCTGCGAGCTGGTCCTGGGGAGCACAGAGGGGTGACCCCGCTCCTCTGCACAGGGCAGGGGAACTAGTAGCTTTCCCAAAAGCAGCCTGGGACAAGTTGCTTTCATTGCTTATTTCCTCCAAGCAGCCACCCAGGTCGTGCTGGCTGGGGCAGCCAGGCTCGCTTTCACCTGTGGCCATGCTGCCCACAAGCCGACTGCCAAGCGGCCAGAAGGACACCAGCCCTTTGCTGACCCTCTGAAAATCCTATCAGCGCTGGGACCACCCTAGGACCTTCTCCCCAAAAGGGAAAAGCTGCTGCCCCCAGTCCCAACCGCTGGCACCAGGTGTTCCCACTCAGAGCAGCACCGAGCAGCCCCCGGCGCACTCACAGCATCCTCGGTCTCTATAGAAACAGCACGCAGAGCACCAGTCAGCGGGCTGAAACTAAAGAAAACACTAAAACAGCCTTAATACTTCTGCCCCATCACCATACTTTGCAGTTCTGTTTCCACCCCCATGTAGCAGCTGCAAAAGTGCCCCTGGTTTGGGGTCTGCAGATAAGCCAGGGCAGGGCTGCCCATAGGGGTAAGAGCCCCCGCTGCAGGGGGTGCTTGCACCAGGTAGTGCTCATCCTATAGGGCTGGTGCTTGCAAAAATTGGCAAGCTGGGGATATTTGAGTAAATAGAATCAACTAGAATCACTCCTGGGGGACTGGCAGGCTTTGATCATCACAGCACGCTCCCCGAAATGGGTGCTTTGCTTTAAGGAGCGCGGAACAGCATCCTGTGAGCGAGCAGAGAGGAGACAGCTCCGAGAGCCAAAGAGCCCTCCAGAGGCCTTGTGAAATACACATTGCAAAACAAGCAAATAACTTCGAAGTGATTACACCAATATTGCTGTAGGACTATCCCCCCAAGCCTTATTAGCAGCTCCTTAATTGGAGCTTGCTTGAACTAATTAGTTCAAAGAAGCAGCCAGGGGCCAGAGCAGATTGAAAAGGGGCCGCCTTTAATTCATTCCCTTATGTGTGGCCCACCCTCACTTGTGCCTCTAAGAAATGTAAGCAGTTGCTCAGCATGTTCTGTGGTGAGCTGTCACTAGTTTAAAGGTACTGCTATTTTGGTTTTACTCATGTGCTCTTTACTCCTTCCTTGCAGGCTTGTACCAAAGAGCAGAGCCGGGCTCTTGTAACCAGCTCTGGTTGCAGCGTGGGGCTGGGTCCTCTTCTGCTCCTTTTTTCCTCCCTTTTTGTAGGGAGCCACTGGTGCTCTGTGGGCTGCTCCCCAGCACGGCCTGGGGCTGGCTCCCGAGGTGCTGGCAGAAACCAGGAGGCAGAGCCTGTCCCAAAGAGCCCCCAGCACGGCCACTTCTGATACTAGCTGCTGTGGATGCCCAATTACCTTCCTGAAAGCACCCCTCCCACCAGGCAAACCCAGAGATGATGTAAGAAGGCAACCTGGCTGGTGCTTATTTCAGCAACTCATTTAAATTCTGGTGTTTTGCAGCAAAGAGTCCTTGCTGCAGACCCTGCTGCTAACCCTGTGGAGGTGACCGCTCTGCTGCGCTGGGGTAAAGCAGAGCCAGGTAAGCATGCTGGATGTGGTGTCTCTGATGAATGCCTTGAGCTTCAGCCACCATGGGGTTTTCTAGCCCATAAAGCTCCCACCAGTGCTTCCCCTGAGCCACTTCACTCCCGTGCCCCCCCTTGGCACACACACACCCACGCTCCCACCCAGTGGCTCTGCAGCACCTGTGAGCGTGGCAGAGCTGAGCACCCCCCTCCTGCCACCAGACCCCTCTGCTGCATAACCAAAGCAAGCTGCTGGCATTTTACCAGGTCAGTAAGCACTGCAAGGGCAGGATTTAGAAACAGCAAGCTTTAATTAAGAAGCTAACAGGTTAGATCAAATTGAGGAGCAGCTTCAATGCGGTAAATTATTTAGGAGTGATTTTTAGGATCTGTTTGGAGATGTTTGTAGACTTGCAGCCTGCTCTCGTGCTAGTGGCAGTGACTAAGTGCTGAGGGCAGCATGCAGCTTTGGGCTTCGCGAGCAGGCTTGGGGGATTTAGGGTGCAAAGTATGCTCAAGTTTGAAAGGGGCTCGTGGATTTCTTATAAGGAATTGAAGCTTTGCTCAGACCGCAGATACCCAGAGGAGGGAAGTCTGAGTGACTGGGAGCCTGTGGAGAATATTGGGCCCCTGATATGTCAGTGCATCCTTCTCTCTGCTGCCCCAGGGCTTGCTGTGCTGTGCTCCCAGCTGCTCCTCGTGCAGTTCCAGCCAAGCTCGGTGCAGCTGCACAGACCCAGCACCACCAAACGTGGCACCATGGCCACAGTTCCTGGAGACAACTGGCTTGTCTGCTGAGACCTTGCCCTGAGAAACGGCATGCACTGAGGAACGGAGAGCTCTTCAGGGAACCGCGAGCCGCTGCTGGAATGCGAGCTCCCAAAGGTCCCTGCAGGGCTGGCACTGATGAAGAAATAACATCAATTTCTCTCTTCTCACCACCGTGCCCAGGAGGAGCTCCCTGCCCTGTTGCACTCCAGGGGTTGCTTTCCACGGGCACTCCCAGCAGCTTTGACCCCTGGTCTGGCCCAGGGGGTCGCTGTGGTCTCCGTGGGGTGGGTCTGCTCAGCCCCACCCTGCCAGAGGGGACAGAGCACCATGGGGATGCCCAGGCTGGGGCTCTAGCAGTGATTGTGGAAAGGCTGAACTTCAGAACCTTTGTGATCTTTGTTTCACCTAAACTAGGATTTTTTTAGAGGGAAAGCATTGAAGTCTGTCCTCCTCCACCCAGATAAAGGCCAGGCCAGATTTCCACCCTCCTGTTTTCACTTTGCTCATTAGATACTACTTGCACAAAGGAAAAAATGCTTGTGAGTCCTCACCCTGCAGTGACTGGGATTTGGCTCCTGTCTCACTTCAGAGCAGGCTGCAGGGCTGTTCTGGGTGAGCAGCAGGCAGGTGGCAGAGGGAGCAGAAGGAGCAAGTAGGCAGAGGCATAAAGGTGACTGAGTGTCTTTTGGAGAAAGGAGAGGGACAGGGAGGTTGGCTCTTTCCAAATCAGAGCCCACCTCTAGGGTTTCCAAGTCCAGGGTACTATGCAATAGTGCCCAGAGGAGCAGGCTGTCCCGGTTACTTTGGCTGCCTGTGGGAACAACCCAGTTCAACCATCAACAGAACCTCGGTCCCAGCAGGAGCTGCCCCAGCTCCCTCCGCTCTGAACCACCTCTGCAGGTCTGTGGCTTTGCTGCTGGTGGTACAAAACTGCTTCAGCTGCCTGCTTCAGACTCCCTCCAGCCTAATCCCTCTGGGAGCCATCAGCTGAAGCCTCGAGCAGCAGTTACTCCTTGTAATTCCTTTCTGCTGGCAACTCCTTTCCTAACAGCATGCATCTGCCCGTCTTCTCAAGCAGCATCTCCTTAGCAAGCTGAGTGCTGACCTTCTTCCTTCACCTACAGCCTTCCCAACGTTTCAGCATAAGTGCAGGGAGAAGGAGCAGGAGCTCATTGCTCATCTACTGAGTTTAATGCTCCAGTGCCTTTACTGGAGATCTCGTGGTGCTGAGAGAATTTATCTGCCAATTACTTCTCAAGAAATAACAAAGGATCATGCACTACTTGGCAGATAAGGGCAGAAAGGGGAGAAGAGAACAGGTCTTTTTTTAATTGAATCTCAAGTATGTTGAACAAAAACTTCAGAACCATCAATTAGCTGTTGGCCTGGGGCTAAAATTTAATTAGGAGAATAGTGCTTTCAAACTGTCACTGTCTGGGAAGGAAGAAAAAAAAAAAAAGCATTAAAGGGAACAGCAAAAAAAATGGAAATGTGATGGGGAAGACAGAAAAGAGTTTGTTGGGATGCTTTAGTATTGAGCTGTTCCCTGTACTGGCAGAGATCCAGGCTGCCAAAGTGCATGTCCCTCACCTCAGAAGTGCCCTAATCCTAATTTTAATCCTAAATCTCCATCCTGTGTGGTTGAGGAGCAGGAATCAGGCAGAGGGTGCTGCTCTCTGCACCCAAAGGTGCTGGCGTGCTCAGGGCCCCGTGCCCCTGCTGCTGCAAGCTATGTTTGGCTGCCAAGATGAAGAAAATTAATTCCTGTGCAGGCTAGGTAGGGCACAGGTTTAAGCAGAAGAAGCTATTAGGTTTTGAGGAGGTAACTCTGGAGCAAGGACTCACTAGAGCAAGAGACCAGCATAGCTCTGGGCTGTGCGACGCGTGGTTCCCACCTTGGGGCTGGGTAAGAGCTGACACATCCAGAGCTCACCCCTGGGTTTCACCATGCCCAGGGGACCAGGAGTTGTTACCTGGGTGTTGCATCGAGGTGCTCTTGTGCTTACTGATCTATTTCTTTGTCTGCAGATGCTTTTGTCTATTTTTTTTCCTTTTTCTCTGAGCTGCTATGGAAGAACTTTTTCTAATGGGGGGAAAAAAATCTCTTTCTACTAGAGAAAAGATTTTATCAGCAAATTCTTTCACTTCTTAGTTTCTTTTGCTAAATAGAATGCTTCTCTTGTGCTGTAGGAAAAGTATGTCTTTTTTTTTTTTTTTTTTTTTAAAGAAGCAGCTCCTAGATTTCTTTGCAGAATTTTCTTAAGAATAACAAAGAGGAACTTTGCTCTTGAAGTCCCAATATATGCAAAAGAGCACAAAACAATGACATGAATCCACAAATTCCAAACATTTCATAATATTTCACAAATATCTGCCAAATCAGTGTTCCCTCTCCTTATCCTCCAGGTATTCTGGAGCAAAGCAGGCAGTTTAATAATCCACAACATAACAACCATACATGCAAAGCCACCCTACACCAAAATGAAATAGATCCTGAATGCTTCCGTGCACATTGGTGGGGAGTGAGGTCTTGTTCTGGCTCGCCCAGGGAAGTTATTTTCCATAGACACAGAACAGTTACTTGAAGTCTTGTGCTCTTAAAAATATCTCACGGATCTTTTCCCAAGGAAGATGTAAGCCTCTGATTTAACGCTCTGGGTTGCTGTAAAGCAATGTTGGGTGCTGAGGCTGAATTGGCTGCTCAGAGAAGAACTGTTCACAGTCACTTCAGGGTTACTGGTGGCTGACTCTTATTTTATTTGGCAAGAGCCTTGGCATTTGGCTCATCTGTAATCTCTTATGTTTTACTCCCAGTCCAGATAGTCTCTTGTGAGTCTGGGGCAAACGTTCTTAGGCTGGCTTCTTGGATGTGTCAGGTTATGAATATCCACTTCGCTTACTAGATGACAGCAGCAGTGAGCATTGCTAATGCCTTATAGGCAGTGCCACTTATCACAAAACATTTTATGGACTTTTATGAATTATTCTTAGGAAATAAGAGAACTGTTTCACCTGCCATTGAAACGCAGCTGTAGCTGGGACAGCGTGCTGCTTGATGGCATGCAGCTGCACCATGCCAGGGCTTACAGGGCAGGGCTACCAAAGGCTATCCAGCCAAAGCAACTGCAGGAATTTAGACAAAAAAAGGTAAGATTATTCAAAAGAAATTCAGGCCACAGTGTTGGAAGTATTATTATTACCTTAAGGAACACAGATTAATTTGATCGTTTTTTTTCTGTAACAAATCCAAGTGGTCTGGACCTTGGGTTTGCATGCCACCAGCACAGCAATATCTCTGGGAGCACGGGGTGAGGTTCCTGATGCCCAGCTTCAGCCATGCATAATGCACAAATCTCCATCTGAAAGAGTCAGACTGGTCTCTTCAGGGTCGTGGAGAGGAAGGGTCACACCTAGGGAGACATTCGTCTCCTCTCCTTCCTCAGACTGCTACTCTGAGATGAGAGGAGCCGCTTCTTGTGCCCAGCTGTCCCTGTTACCTCTGGCAGTGCTCCAGAGGAGCAGCTCACGTGAGTGTCTACGTTATAGGCACCTGCCTTTGGGAAGGGGATCCTCACCCCCTAAGAAACCCGGTCCAGTGTTTTTTTTCCTCCCTTGACTGCCCTTCTCTTCCTGGATTTCCTTCCAGTGCTCTGGCCCAACTCAACAAAGAGCAGCACTTGCACGTAACACAGGACGGCATTGCGCTGCTATATTTAACTACAGATTCTTTAAAGATGCTAAGCATTGACCTGCGCCTAACACATCAACAAACAAGAATAAATTAGCATTAAGGAAAAGCAAATTAATTCGCCTCTAAGAATCTGTTTTGTTAAATGCCCTGGAGAGGTATTAACTCAAGCTGGCCGCAATGCCAAAGCAATTTCTGTTGGCGCTTTCCCAGCACGGTGCATGCAGCCACATAGCTCCTGCGTTGTTTCAGGGTCCTGGTATTTATTTGGCAGGCCTGCTTTTCCTTGCAGGTGCCGGGAGGCTGTTCAGCTCTTCTTGTTCGGTGAGGAGATCCGAGCTGCCATGAGAGCAGTCCTTCGTGACGCTGTAGTACACCGGGGCGCTGTGTGGCGTGGGGTTCTCGGTGCTCTTCTGCTCGCACTCCCAGAGCTTCCTGAAGGCAGCCCTGAATTTCTGGGACATGAGGTTGTAGATGATGGGGTTGATGGCGCTGTTCAGGTAGATGCACGTCCGGCAGAAGAGCAGGAACCAGATGTTCAGGTACGGTGGGTCCATGAAGGAGTTTACCACCACCAGCGTGCGGTAAGGCATCCACAGGAGGGCGAAGAGCACCACCACCACTGCCAGCATTTTGGTCACCTTGTTAGAGGGGATAGGCAAAAAGAGAAACAGACAGATGGTGCTGAAGCTCCAGCAGAGCCTTCCCACCTCTAACTGCGCAGGTAATTTATAGCATCGCACATATCTCTCTTTAAGGATTTAAAATAGGGTCACAAACCATGGGACTGTCTATTCCTCACTGAACCCATTTTTGTTCATGAAATAATATTGCATAAATACAACCTTTAAATGACAGATTTTCACCTACCACTCGATAGACTTTGAAATGTCAGCACAAGCATCCCTCAGCCTGGAAATGAGTTGGAAATAACCATGGGAATTTCTGTACCAGAAAACAGGTATGAAAATTGCTCATAATGTTAAATCAGTGAGGAAATTAACTTGTGTCAAAGTGGGATCCTAAGTTTTTTAGGTACCAGGGGTGAATCTCAACTCCCTGTCTGGGATCTCCTGGTTTGCTATGCCTGCTGTGCTCCCAGGGACAGGCTCCTGGTACAGAGAAGCACTGGGAGCAGACGAGACTGCCTGGCGTCCTACACAAATTCCTGACTTGCCCTGATAGGGGAGCTGCTCAGCTAATCAGTACGGGTTATTATAATTTGCAGCACACTAGGGAGGAACTACATTAATGTATTAGGAACAAGAAGATATTGAGAATGCAGGAGCGAGCAGTAATTGCCCTCAGCTCAACTCAGGCTTGCTTAAGAAAATGTGTTTTTGTACTGAAACTCCAACGATCCTAATAATTTTGACAGCTACATGTATTTTGGGTAGGTGACAATCATCCTTCTGCAAGTGCTTACAGAATACATGTGTCCCCAAGGAGGAAAGTATGAGTAAACACCGATGCTGCCCACACATTAAGGTGGCGGTGTTTCAAATGTCAAAAAGGGGGTTGTGCACTGACTCCTCTTCTCTATAAGGAAGCAAGCACTTGGATCACACTCGGTCTTTCAGCTTTTCTTGGATGTTTTTTTCTTTTTTAACTTAGTTACAAGCAGTGATTCCTTCCTGTAATGCTTTGTGTAGAAAGAAGGGGTGGTTGGCGGTGGCAACAAAACTTTTCCTACAAGAAAGGATCCATTGTCAAGCCGAGGCCAGAATAGAAGTGTTTTGCTGTGTGTGGTTTAACGGGAATGTGAGGACACTTCCCAGAATCAGATCTTGCCGTGATGCTGTGAGTGCCTGGGCTGTTGCTAAGACTGCAGCGTGTTTGCTGTTGCCTTGGGGGAAGACAGAAGGGACTCTGAAGAGAAAAGCTTCAGAGCTTTCTAGTGCCTTTCACAAGGGTGGCTGGATCCATCCCACGGGCTTTTGGTTTCATGCTGCTAGGATGAGGCTGCTGGGTGACGATGTGCTTGGTAGCAATGGTCCCAAACACAGAGTCACTGTCTGCCCTGAGCCTGGCAGGGCAATAAAGGCTTGACCTCCCCTCACCAGGGGAAGGAGCATCCTCCTGCGGGCTATGAGACCGCATTGCTGTGGGACAGAGCTCCAGGTACCACAGGAGCCCAGGAAGGAAGGATTTCTGCCTGAGGAGCCATGCACATGGATGGGACCCATGCTCTCTCTGTACCTCTCTTTCCAAATATCTTTACAGCAAATAGACACAGCCACAATGGAGCGATCAGCTGCTCTGCTGCCTCCCTTGTACCACTTCTCAGGTTTGCAGAGAGAAAGGCTTTGGGTATATTTTTGATTCATCTGAGGTTAATATCCTGAGAACATGAATGAATTTGATTTAAACAAAAATGTGATAAAAGCTGAACCCTACAGCAAAATGCGAACAGCTCAACTCAAGTGATCCTAAGTACAGTTTCATTCAGAATTTAATTCTCCCCTACTGAGCAGTTTATTCAGGCTGCTCCTCCTGGGAGATGAGGGCAGGCTGTGCTTCACCATCACATCCCAAATGTGTCCAGGTCCTGCCTGGAAGGGGCCTTGCTAAAGGGGTGTCCCTGGGACAAGGCTGGAGGGAGCCTTTCCATCAGCTTCAGTAGTCCTACTGCAGTGGGATTTCTGCAAAATGTGTCCTGGAAAACTTAAATAGCACACCAGTGTAGGAGGGCACCGAAGCGCACACACTCCTCACTCAGCACAGGGGTTGTCTCCATTTCCGAGCTGCCAAAGTGTCTGCTGTAGAGAATAAACCTCCAAACTTGTGTCCGCTTAGCTCTGCTCTCTGCCAGGTGCCACTTCTGGCCGAGAGCTTTCTGCGCAGTGAAACATCTCCCTTTAAAGCTAACAGATTAGTCCTGCTCACATGCTTGTTTGTGAGGCTGAAGCATCTCTGACCTCTTCACTGATGTAACTGTTTGCTCAGGACACCGCGATGTTTGTAAAGAGTGAGCTGGACTCTGCCTCGCCGTGACAAAGCCCGAGGGATTGCATCCTAGGCTGACAAGTAAGTTGGCTGCAGTCCTTTCCAAGACCAAACAAAGTTTGTTATGGGAAAGAATTAGTGATTCATCTGCCTTTAGCCGGAGCTGCCCCTGCTTTTCGGCTGGCTGTTACGGAAGCGTTGCAGTGCCTGACAACACCTTTACCCAGACCGCAAGAGGCCACACAGGTGCTGTCACAAAAAGACCTGTGCTCCCTGCTCCACGTCCTGCAGCCCTGCAGAAAAGTCATCCTGAGAGGGGATACCTGCTGAGGAACTAGAGCCACAAGGATTTGTTGCCTACTCTTGCTAAATGCCCTCGGTGCTCACTGAGGATGCTGCATCCAGGCTGCAAGGGGAGAGGGCAGCCCTGCCCCGAGCTTGCTGCGAGATGAAATTTGCCTCATAAGCCAAGTGTTCTCCTGGGGCTCCAGTTGTATATGGTGCAGGATGGCTCTTCTGCTTAAATCCCCGTGGTCTATCCCAAAGTCACGTCACAGGGAAAGCAATCTCCGACATCATCTCCACGCACAGCTGCAACCCCTCTCCCTGCCCTCCCTCACTCTGCCTTTCCTGGGAGAGTACCAGCAGCACGCGTTCGGTGCTCTGAACTTCCTTCTGGTGCCTGATGGAGAGTCTGGGAGAATGTGAGTTCACTTATCCCTATCTGGAGCAGTCTTCAGGCATGGCCCAATAAAGCAGCTGCACCCCCTAAAAAAGACAGATCCTTAGTGTTGCTTCAAAGCATTCTTCAGGGAAACACCAGCCGGGGAGAAAACTTCTCCATGAGGTCTCACAACCCCTGTGCATGCTGTGTGCACGGAGAAGCCACAAAGGGGCTGTGGCTGGAAGGAGGACGAAGCTTTCAGCCCATGTCTCCCAGGCCACTCCCAGCCAGTGCCCGGTCTCCCTCTCCCAGCACCGCTGTCCTGAGCTGCTGCATCCTTTTTTAGGAATCCCGCTCCCTCTAGTGGTCCCTAGCGGGTGAAATCCGTGCTCGGAGCTGCACCCTCACTTTAATCTTCCCTGCTGGCAGCTCACGTACTGCTTTCACAGCCTCCTCATCGCCCTTCCAGCTTGGAGACCCGCCAGCATCTCTTGCTGGAGCACTTTCTGGTGCTGTGTCCTCACGGCTGATGCTCAGGACGAGACCCATCACCAAGGCACCCCCCTGGAAATTCCTGGTGACATTTTCAAGGGCTGTCAGCGCTTCTCTGGAGAGTGTGAGAGCTGGGTGTCGTAACCCAGGCCTTTCCACCCTGGCCACGGGTAGTTCATGAGCAAAGAAACCCACTTGTGGGCTGCTCACCAGCCACAGCTATTGCAAAACAGGGTCTGGTGGGATGATTTGAGATCCTGCTGAATTTCTTCCTCCCAGAATTTCCCTCTGATTTTGAGGCAGTGTTGCAATTGCTATCGGAAAGCCAGAGAGGACATCTTTCTTCTGGTGAGGATGACCCAGGACACCAGTGTCCAAGTTGTACCAGCCCATTGCATCAGGGTTTTTTTTGCCTCTGACTTCCTCAGGAGCAGGTCGTGGAGGTGAACCTTGCCCAGAGAAGGCCATTCTGGTCCCTTCTGTGCCTCTCAGCAGAAGACATTTCCCATCTTTCCTACAGTCACAAGGGCTGGCACCCACCTCTGCTAAAGCTGACCTGGGGGGCTCCCCTGGTTCCAGGCTGGGGGTGTTGTGGGGCCGTAGCACCCCCAGGAATGCCCTCTTCTCTGCTCACTGCTGCTCCCATCCCGTATCTCCATCTGCCAGCTCTGCTGGACCAAATGCATCCAGCTGCCTCCAGCCTCACACTAGTCCCCTCTCGGTGATGTGCCCTGCTCTCACCCCGCACACTGCAGCAACTCCTGCAAATGTCACTCATGTGGTCCCTGCTGGCCCCACGCAGGACAGCTCCAAGGCAGAGTTCTGTGCTGACCCTGCGGGGCTCCCAGGAGACCTCCTTCCTCCCTGCCCAGTTGCTCAATTGTTTTTTTCCTTGTAACTAGATGCAGAGCCGTGACTCACTGCAGCCATTGCATCAGGATGCAGTGCTCCAGCTGGGCTTCAGACAGCACCGGGGGAGATGCTCTGGGAGGAATCGGGTTTGTTACGCTCAGAGAACTCTTCATGCTGCCCAAAGCTCTCATAAAAATGTTGGTGTGGTTTCACTTGCTTTTGGTGCACAGTCATACTGGACAGTAGTATAAATTTCCTATGCATATATATAAAAAGAAGTGACCGTGTATCACAGCCACCTCTGGGGTGCAGCATGGCATCCATCCATGTGGCCAGCTGTCTGACAGGCAAGCGGTGGCCCAGCTGGGGTTTCTTTCTCCTTTGCTGTCTCAGCACAGGCTGCCTCGAAGTGCTGCTGGTGTGAAGCCAGAAGGAAGCTGGGAATGTGGCTGGAAGCCTCATGAAACAAAACTGCTCAGAAACAGAAGTTTGAAGTCACCTTGCCTGCTGGTATTTTAGCTGCTATTTGTGCTTCACGAATAGCTTATGAGCAGCTTGGATCCAGGATTCTTCCTTATTTCACACTGCCGTGAATGTTAGAAGTATGCTCTGAACTGGAAGCATGGTCAAAACCTCCCTGAAACCTCCGGAGTCCAGTGAGGGGGAAGTAAATTCCCCCAAATAGTTACAGTCAAACGCACTGATATCCCTTATCTCTCTGCAAGGCAGGAGGTGAGGATCGAACAGATTTACAAAGTGGCTTTTGCTGTTTTCCACTACAAATAGCAGCGCTACTGCTTTCTCTCCTGGGTGAGCAGGAGATTCACAGCAGGTTCTCAGAGGCTTCAGCTGAGCTTCTGTTAACGAGAAAAGCTGGGTGATTGCTTTCTAATTCCACAAAGCATCACAGAGCTCCCTATAGAGTGAGAATATTGCCGATGATGATCATAGCACTAACCACACACCTGTATAGGGAAGTAGGTGTTGATTGTGAATAGAGATAGAGAGACTCCCCCTTTCAAAACAAGTTCTGACAATTTAAAACCTCGGTGACATCTTCATTCCTGATGAGCCCAGCTCTGAGATGTAAAGCTAGCCAGGGGCAGTTTTTGCTAAGATATTTCAGGAGCTAATGAAGAGCTCAAGAAAACTGCCGGTGTAACAGAGGAAAGAGCACAGGATGTTTCCAGGGGCTGGAGTGCCTTCATCCAGCCCCTTGGGACTGACAGCCTCGGGCACTCATCCTAATGAGGCTGGAGCACGCTGTGTGCAGTGCCCACCCCACGGTGCAGATGTGGCAGGAGAGGTTTCTGCTCCTTGGCCATGCAGCTGTGGGTGCTGCCCTGTAGTGACTGGGGAAGTTGTGGAAAAACCCTGCACCAGCAATTGGGAGAGGAGTCTGGTGCTGTTACAGATGTTGGTGCTTGCTTTAAACCTTTCTGGGATGGAGCAAAAGGGAGAAAAAGCTGAACTAGAAAGACCTAAAAGCTCATAAAGAAATAATACTTATTCTCTGAGCTGCTTGCTTCCCTCTGTGACTGCGAATCGTCTCTCCCGGGCAGTGGAAGTTCCTGTGCAAGTCAGGCAGCGAGTTGGATAAATGATGTTTTTAAGACTGGCTGAAACTAATCTCAGCCTGGCTGGAAATCAGGTCCTGCTTGCTCAAACTCAGCAGGAGAGGCTTAAGCCAGACCCCAAGCTTCAGCCCTTATCTTAAAGCAGACCACACGTTGAAGTTTGAGGCTTGAGCAGGATGCTCTCCTGCAGGAGTCCCATGCTCAGACACTGCCCCATCCCAGGAGCTGGGTGAGAGACAGTAACTGCTTGTGGACAGAGAGAGGAGGAACAAGGCGAGGAGATGGAGACAAAGCAAGCAGCTGGATGACAGAGGAGTCACCGAGAGGAACACCGTACCGCTGGGACACTGAGGTGCCTTCCCCAGCCACAGGGAGCCGGGGGCTGCAGCCAGGGCTGGCTCAGAGGATGGGTCCTGTGTCCTGCTGGCTTTCCCTTCCCTTTGCTTTCCAGATCTGAAGTCACCTGCCTGGGACCTGAGTCCGTAATGTGTCCTGGCACCCCCCTCCCTGGGGAGGCAATCAGGAATTAATTATCCAGCCAAACCCCTGAACTCTTGCCTCTCCCAAATGATGTGGAGGCCAGCCAAAGCAGGGGGGAATCCATCTGTGCTGCCAGACCCCAGCTTGTCTTTGGGATACCCCCTATGCAGCAAGCCAACCCTCCCAGCTCCCCACACAAAAGGAAGCAAAATATTGGGGCACCCCTTTCCCTGCCAGAATCCGCCCCCCCAAAACCCCTCAAAGCACTGAGCCCCAGCAGCCCACCCGGCAGGGGGGCCCTACCTGCCTGCGGGAGCTCAGGGCCCCCCTGTTGCCCCGGCAGGAGAGCTTGAGGGAGCCTCCCTGGTGCGTGGAGCCCAGGCAGGGGTGCTGCGGGGTGGCGGGCAGGGGGCTCATGAAGAGGATGCGGGCGATGAGGCCATAGAGGACAGTCGCCAGTCCCAAGGGGATGACGTAGAAGACAGCGAAATCCAAGAAGTAAATGGGCATGTAAAGGCTTCTGGAGACCCGGTAGCCACAGGTGACCTGCGCCCCATCCAAGAAGGTGACCTGGGTGGTGTCCACCAGGAAGAACCACATGAGGCAATAGAGGGAGGTGAAGAGCCAGAGCGAGGACACAATGCGCTTGGCGCGGCTCACGGTGCAGAGGAGCTGCGCTTTGATGGCGTGGCAGATGGCAATGTAGCGCTCCACCGTGAAGGCAGTGATGGACCAGGCGGAGATGTTGATGCCCAGGTACTGCAGGTAGGTGATGCAGAGGCAGCCGGCGTAGCCGTACACCCAGGAAGCCACCACGTCCGAGATGTTGGGCAGCCCGGCCGCCAGCAGCACGATGAGGTCGGCCACCGCCAGGCTCACCAGGTAGCAGTTGGTGGGGGTCACCATGTGCTTGGTGCGCAGCACCACCAGCACCACCATCACGTTGCCGGCGATGCCCACGCCGCAGATGAGCAGCACCAGCAGGATGGTGACCACCTGCAGCTCCAGGGGCTGCCGGGGCATCCTGCCCAGGGTTTGGTTGCCGCTGCCGGCCGGGCTGGCTCCCGGGCTGGCCGAGCCGTTCTCCATGGGCGCTGCGCGGCTCCTGCGCGCCCCGAGCGCCTTCCCCGGCGCAGCCCTGCCGCGAGTAGGGGATGCTGAGCGCCCCCCGGCCCCCCTGTCCTCCTCCCCTCCTCCCCGCCCACCTCTTCTTCCCTCCCCTTTTTCTCCAGACCTCACCCCAAATCTTGCTGTCTCCCGCTCACCCACACCCCCCTCCCCGAGTCTCTGCTGGGGAGCAGCCAGGAAGCCCCCAGCCCCCGGGAACCCCCCAGCTCCCGAGACACCCCAACACCCGGGACCTCCCAACCCCCGGGAACCCCCAACCCCCGGGATCCCCCCGAGCCCCCGGGATCCCCCCCCCTGCTCCCGGGGTGCCCCAGGACCCCCCAGAGCCCCCACCGTGCACCTGATCCTGCCGGGTCCTAGCTCACCGCTGAGCCGAGAAGGAGGAGGAGGAGGAGGAGGAGGAAGGAGCCCAGGTGGGGATGGGGGGGGGGGGCGGTGGCAGGCTGGAGACCCCTGGAGCAGAGGCCCGGCACCTCCTGGCAGGAGGCTGCAGGACCCAGGAGTGTGGGTGCCTGGACTCGGAGCCCAGCCGCAGGCACTGCCACCTCTGAGGAAGGAGAGGGGAGGATGAGGAGTCCTTCCTTCCTCCCTCATCCTCAGGAGGATGGGACCAGGGCGATGCCTTGCCTGTTTCCCTTGGGCTGGGGCAGAGGATGCCTTCCCCCTTCCCTGGGGGTCATTCAACCCAGGTAGCAACCTCCTCGAATTATTTCTCCTGCAGCCACCCCATCCCAAAGAAGCACATCGATTTCACTTCAGGAAAGGCTTACCCACCCCTGGGCTGGGGGATCCGGGCTCTTCCTGGCAGTCGGACTGGGATATCTGCTTTCTAGCTGGTCAGCCGGGTGGATGCAGCATTTCCCCGACAGGCAGCTAACACAGCAGCAGCCACTACTTGCTGTCAGCTCCCTGCTTGCTTCTGACATCTCCACAGTCCCTCAGGAATACATTTTCACACTGAAAGACCAACTGTGATTAGAAAGATAAAGTGCTAACAGTACCCTAACCTGTGGAGCGCAGGGAAGGGCAAGGGGAAACGCTCGCTTTTCAATTAGATTGCATTTGGGGTAGCAGCACAGCGACCCCGTTAATTCAGACACCGAAGCACATCACCAAAATGTGAGGGATCTTTCTGATGCTGGGTGATTCAGGTCTGGGACTTCACGGGCACATCTCTGTCTGTGTGCTGCAGTCCTGGTGTGGATAAAATGCCACACAATGGCTTGGCCCCACATTCCTCTCCCTGCCAGCAGCAGTCTGTCCCCAAGCTCTGCCTTGCTGGGACAAGCAGTACTTTCCCCTTTCCTCTAGGAAACCTTATGCCTCCAGTTGGCTCCACGGAGTGCTATCCCTGTAGTTTTTTTTTCTCTTTCTCACACACACACCGACATTTCATTCAAGTTCGTCTCATCTAGGAAGGACAAATTCTCTCTCCTTCCCTTTCCATTTCTTCCTTAGGGGTCCTGCTCCAGGACCTCACCTCTGCGCATCAGCCCCAGGCTGGGGAGGCAGCAGCAGGTCCCTGCCCTCAGAGATCTTCTCAGGATGCATTTGCTTCTACTTTTCCCCGCTTCTTTGTTAACAGATGCACTGCAATTACAGCTGTTTCATGATATTTTCTGCAGCCAGCAGTGTGTAATGCTGCGATGCCTCACTGGGAGGCAGCTCCAGCACCCCTGGGTGCTACTGACCCACTGGAGCCCGGCCGACGGCACCCAGCACCCACCACTTGGCAAGGCTGTCAGGCACAAGGCACCACCACAATTATAAATCCTAATCAAAATTACCAGCAGCAGCACTGTTCTCTGGCAGGAGCGCAGCTTGGTTATTCTGGTTACAGCATCCTGGTTGCTTTACCCCGGGTTATTTGCAGAGCCACAATACATTATCCCTTGCTCAAATTGCCCCCTTTAGTCCCACTGTTGCTCCCATCTGCCCTGACCCTTCTCCAGTGTGAATAAATCCTCCTACCTGTGGAGCAGCATGTGTCAGGAGGTAAACGAGGAAAGGTGAGATTTAATCCTATTGCATGTGTTTTTGGGAAGGAGGAGGAGTGAGGGCATGTGTGTGTGCTCACACAGTCGGGGGTTTGCACACCTCGGTGCTCAGGACCAGCTCTAGCACAGATGTGACAGCCTCATACAAAGTCTCTGGTGCCGGCTTTTCCTGAAGCTGCTGTTGGGCTCTGAGCTGTTATGGTGATTTTCCTGTTCCTGAAAATGATAGCTATTGCACACGGAGGGGAGGGGAAGGGTGCTGAACAGGGTGCTCCTCTTCCAAGTGTAATTTCACCGTGATGAAAGCTTCTGTAGTGTTTTGGAAAGAGACACTGAAAGAATCCTCCCAGCATCTGTAGTCTACTCTGCATTTCTCTGCAAAACTTAAATTCACCTCTGAGGGGATGGGGACTTGCGTGGTAGCCACATCTTTGACTCTCTCTGCTTTTCTTTGGGATTTGAGTCCTTTCAAACAAGTCAGACTTCTCAGCTGAGCAGCAGCAGCACTGAAAATGAAACCCAACCTGCAACCCAGCCCTTTGCTGAAGCCCCTGGACCCTTCTCTCCCTTCCTTCCCCTTTGTCTGCAGTGTAGGGCAGAGGATGTGGTGTTCAGCAGCAGCACACAGCCTGCAGCCAGCCCAGCCCAGCCTGGC